AAAAAAAAAAAAGCCGCTCCGGTTTCTTTCCACCTGCTGAGAGCCGGGGAGAGGGGCGCTCGGGTCCCTCCGGGCCAGGGCTTGTATCTTACCCCCTTCACAAGGCCCTGGGTTCTTGCATGTGTGGATGTGGTCTGGATGTTGTCCTGTGTCCTCTGCTCTCCATTTTAGGAAGAGTTTTCTTTGTTATATTTTCATAGATGTATGTGTTTTTGGGAGGAGATTTCCACTGCTCTACTGACGCCGCCATCTTGGCTCCACCTGTATAATGTACTTTTAAGAAAGTGCAGCTTATATGCATGTAAAAAATCTTACCTAAGGGACCAATTGCTTTTTTTTTTATTGCCTAAACTTACCTTATTTATGCCACCTATTTAAAAGATGTAAAATATTTATTGTATTTATTATAGAGTTTGGTAAAATTGGCACCTCTTTGAAATTCTATATAGTATGAAAACTCCTGCCTTAAAGAATGTCACTATCTAAATAAAGAAAACAAAGCAATTAACAGTGTAACACTGTAATGTCAAGTATAACACATAAGTTCTTAGCATGGCCCATGGCATGCTGTATGTTTTGGATGAGTGGATGGGGAAGAAAGATACGCATGACATGTGAATTGAATAGTTAGCTCTCTTGACTGGAATGGTCATGGAAGGCTTTGTGATGAGAAGATACTTAATTTGGTTCCTGAAATTCTGAAAACATACTCTGTGCAGGTGGCCCGTCCAACGGGAATAGAATGAACAGAGGTCTGGAAGAAAGAACATGATGCCAGTTTTTATAGCCATTATCACATCCTCAAAGGAATTTTCGACCTCAGAAGAGATTAGGAATAATGGCCTTTATGCATTTGTATATGAGAGATACTGTTTGCTATTTACTGCCTGTATTTTGGGGGTTTGTTTTGGAACTGGATTGCTATTTAACTGAGAATTCGTATGAGTTTTAAACTAGTCTCTTTGACTTTATATTCTTGGCTTTGCTTCATAAATATGATTCCAAGCAAAGTAAGAAAAAGTAAAATCTATAAGTTTACAGATGGAAGATAATAGAACTTTTTAAAGTGACTGCCTTCAAGAAGAGAAAAGAGAGAACATTTTCATTAATTTTTAAAGACTATCTTTATTCTCAAATTCATAGAGCCCATAAGTCTGAGGAAAGGTGGTACCTAAACTAAGTCTTGAGAAACACAGATAGGAATAAGCCTGGTAAGAAAAATAGAAGGGCATATCCCAATTAAATGATTAACTCTGTAGATCCCTACGCAGTCTCAGAATCTGAAAGCACTGGGTACTTCAGTAGGTGGAAAATAGAGGTGATGATAGGAAACTTGTTTGAAACTTTAAAGAAGAGTAGTTCCCTAGAGGTTTTCCCAGCTTGGAAGGTCTGGCAGCACTGCTTCTCTTTCTCTGGTAGGAGGTAGGAAGTTTACTTTGTGGAGCACATGTTACTGGTGAAGATGTGGGTGAGCCACTGTGTTGAAAATAGTATTCAGAAAAGTTTGGACACTGAATTGTGAGAAGTCCTCCTCCCTTCCTTCCCTGACTGGGTTCCCAGGAGGAAAACCCCTGATGCTAACACTGAGCACCCTTGGGATCACAAACCCAGCCCTCTGCTGCTTCTAGTCAGTTTCACTCTGTAGTATAAAGAGCCAGGGATTGACAGGTGTACAAACTGAAACAAAGGGAGTAGAGGAAACCCTGTGAAAGTTATAGGGAGGTGGATAAACAGTTGAAGATAGGAAAAAGAAAAAGTGCCAGAAGACCAGCATCTGCATGAGGGAATTTAAGAATGGAAATCATAGAAAGGGCAAATAATATAAGTAAGACTCAGTTTCCACTAAGTACACAGCCTAACATCTGGGAAAAGATCCATTTTAAGAAATATTACGGGACTTTAGAAAACAAGAAAAAATTACTTTTTCAGGGAAGGAAAACATAAGTACCTGGAAAAGATCAGGAATCAGGATGGCAGAAACACTGAATGGCAGATGGGAATGATGTTTTTAAAGTTTGAGAAAGTATTTCCTAACCTGGGAATCCATATAAAAACCAAGCCAACAATAAGGTTCAGAGGTGAATGAAGATTTTTGTCACGCAAAATTTTAACTTTTGATGTCATTTGTACCCTTTCTGAGGATTTTATTGGCTATTGTGCCCCCTTGATGAGAGGAAGTCCAAGAAAGGAAAATCTTTTCGTGAGATGAAGGACATAAGAAGTCTAACACATTAGGCCCAAATACCAAACCAGTGCATGTGTCCTTCTGTGAGGCAAAAGTGATCAGTTGGTGCTAAAATTCACAGAAGACCAAGCAGATGAAGAAAATGAGCTGATTTTAATGCAGGGAAGGTTGTTTTACATGAAAATGAGCTGATTTTAATGCAGGGAAGGTTGTTTTACATGAAAGCCCTGGATCAACAAACTTGGTAAAGAACTGCCAGTTGCTAGATTGGAATACATTGCTTAATAGTATTTCCATTTATTGACTGTCTTGTACTCCACTAATTCTCAACTGGGAGTGGTCCTCCTGGAGGCATGTGGAAATGTGTAAAGACTTTTTTTAAAATGTCTTGTGGAGATGCTGGCTTACCTGATGGCTCACATTTGCTCACTGAATGTTGATAAAACCATCGTGGGCAAACGGCAAGGGCAGCGCCATTCACTGAGCTCTCAAATAGAACGGACCTGGGACGTGTGGAGGCGTTCTTGTTTACACATGTATACATTGAAATGCCCAGAGAGACCGAGTGAATAAGTTTTTGGCAGTATGTAGGTCTGAGACTTTAAAGAGATCTCAACAGTCCATTTCCTCATCTATAAAAGAAAGTAATTTCTGCTTCATTAAATCATTGTGTAGTTCAAGTGTAATATGTCACTTTTCAGAAGTGAGCACAGGCGTTTCTTAAAATTTTGAGATTGATTACTTCCAGGTCATTTATTTCAGCCCTCTTATAATCTTATATTTCATACATAAAATTTTTTCCAGCCTCAAACGGAGACTTTCTACTCGTTCCTCAATTTTGAATGCAAAGAGCCGGAGGTTCAGCAATCAAGCATTTGAAAATTCATCTTACAAAAATGTTGATGATGAAGATGTCATCATCTTGGAAGAAAACAGCACCCCCAAGCCTGCAGGAGATCATGATGTTGAAGTAAAATTGGAGCAGAGTCACATTGAGCAAAGTGGTGCTCAGGTTGAGCCTGTGGCTGATAATGAACCTTGTGGTCAGACTAGTTCAACAGGCATCTCATCCAGATGTGATCAGGGAGCTACCATGGCTACCCAGACTGAAGTACCAAGTTTCATTGTTAAAAAGGAAGAAACCATTGAAGATGAGATAGATGCAAGAAATGATACAGCAGTACTGCCATCCTGTGTGGAAGCTGAAGGAAAGACACATGAACCTCAGGAAACCTTTGATAAATCTGTGGCTGATACTGGTTGCCAGTTAAGTGAACTGAGAAATGAGTTGCTTCTAGTCGCTCAGGAAAAAGAAAATTATAAAAGACAGTGTCATGTGTTTACCGACCAAATCAAAGTGTTACAACAGAGGATACTGGAAATGAACAACAAATATGTGAAGAAAGAAACTTGCCATCAGTCTACTGAAACTGATGCTGTATTTTTACTGGGAAGTGTTAATGGCCAGTCTGAAAGTCCAGACCATGTGGTGTACCAGTATCGGCAAGCTTTGGAAGAAATAGAAAGGCTGAAGAAACAATGTAGTGCTTTGCAACATGTAAAGGCTGAATGCAGTCAGTGTTCCAATAGTGAGAGTAAAAGTGAAATGGATGAAATGGTGGTGCAGCTTGATGATGTATTTAGACAGCTGGACAAATGCAGTATTGAGAGGGACCAGTATAAAAGTGAGGTGAGTTTTGTCATTCATCATAGTCATGGGAGCCCAGGATCAAGAAACTTGTTAAAGTTGCTAGATTGGAATAAATCGCTTAATAGTATTTCCATTTATTCACTGTCTTGTACTTCACTAGTTCTCAACTGGGAGTGGTCCTCCTGGAGGTATGTGGAAATGTGTAAAGACAGTTTTTTTTAAATGTCTTGTGGAGATGGCATGCCTGGGATTCAGTGGCTGGTGGATCAGGTATGGTGAATGTGCTGTGGCACAGGACACTGCTGTGTACTGAAGGATTGTCCTGCTCAGAATACCAGTGTGGTGCCCACCAAGACACTGTTATTAAACGTAGTGGGAATTGTATATCCATTAGTAATAAGCCTTAACAGTAACCATATAAGGTATATGATACCGTCATTTTATAGATGCACCCTGTATTAGTCACAGACTCATTTGTAGGAGACATAAAACCCCCAAACAACAGTGGCACTTCCACAGCCATTGGAGACAGAAGCTCTTCCTGTACTATTGCTTTGCTTCTCAGTGCACAGCTGTGGCTGTAGATGGTTCTTCAGGCCCAGCCAGCCATTGCACATCCACACTCTAAACAGCAGAGGGGCTGCTGGAAGCAGAAGGTAGGGGGGCTCCTGAAAGCTGCTTATAGTTTGAGTCACCTGGCTAATAGTGCCTGGGAAATGTAGTCTTTATTCAGGGGTTTCTACTGAGGAAGAAAGAGAAAAAACATAGAAAAAAGGAGACAAGGAGTAGCCTCTGCACGTGCACCCAGTTCAAATTTGGGTATCTCCTTTTTAAAAACATCTATTTGATATATTTACAGCATGGTGTTTGAAAGGAGAATTTCTCTGCTAAAAAGACTTTGGAAATGACATGGTGCTATACTGCCTCTTCCTTGAAATATTGCTGACATAACTGCTCTTTCACACATTCATCTTGATGTGTTGGCTTAGGAGATGACAGACTGTCTAAAATTAGTATAAGCTCACAATTTGGAGTTGCTGAATGTGCTAGAAATAAATGCTGTGATGTCACATCATTTTAGGCATTTTTATCTTGCGTTTTCAGTTTGGGTACCACTTGTTTTCAGTCAAGCTGTAGTTAACATTTTGCATTCTTTCAGTGTAAAAAGATAAAACGAATGAAGTTTGTTTATAGTAAGCTATTGGGGTGGGGTATTTTTTGTCTTTTTTATGCTAATTTTCATCAAGCAGGTTTTTTATATTTCTTAGCTGAAATTTCCCTAGAGATTAGTATTTTTAAATTTTACAGTTAGTTAATTTTTTTGTCAGGTTGAATTACTGGAAATGGAAAAATCACAAATCCGTTCACAGTGTGAAGAACTGAAAAGTGAAATCGAACAATTAAAATCTGCAAGTCAGAAGATAGGAACAGATGTTTCAACATCAAGTAACATTGAGGAGTCTGTAAATTACACTGATGAGGAAAGGTAATGTTAAATGAGGGTTTGACTGGGGCTGCAATTCTGGTTAGTGTGATCCTTGCTTGCTAGCATACATGAAACAAATACTGTTCTATCAAGAATTCTTGACCGCTGTGAACCCAACAATTACAGTAGACTGTGAAATACAAAAGAGGTACACATCATCATCCTCCCCTTCAAGGAATCAGCAGGTTAAGTTAAACTTCAGTGAAACAGGAATTACAAAGGAATACAGCACTTGATTGATCAGAGTGGTTTGGAACGCTTTTTGGGGGAAAATGAAACTGAACTGGATGTTAAAGAATGGGGTGAATGTGGCCATGACTAGAAGACAGGGGACTATTTCATGAAACTTTTTCACCTTTTTCTTCTCCACTTTATGATTTGCCATCCCTGTTTTATTATGTGCCCTCCTCAGTCATAACTTCTGGGAAATCACAAAATTACTAAAAACTTGCCATAGTACAGATGATAATTAGGAGGAAGTTCTGTGAAAATTAGAACACAGTAAATGAATGATTACCCTATCCCAATAAGGTATAAAAGTGGTCTTGGGGTTCTGTTTTCATTTGTTGTGTTTTTGAGGTTGGAGGCAGAGGCTCCAGCGGGTGGGGATGATAATGTGTTGGTATGTTGATGACCATTCAGATATAGTAAAAAGAGCTAAAATTATGCAACTCTTCCTACTAATATAGGAATTCAGACCTAAAGGTACAGTTGTTGAGAAATAATCTCCTACCATCCTCACTTGACACCAGTTATATCATTTCTTTGTTTTTTAGCTTAGGATTTGGAAGGATTTAATTAAACCTGTTTGTGGAACTAGGATAGACCAGTGCATATAAGCATGGAGGACGAGGGGTTAGAAAAAAATCCCAACTAGTATTTCTGAAAATGGGAACCACAGTATCATAGTGCTTGTAGGAATGCAGACCCTTGGGTGTTTATCCAGCTTTTCAACAATTTCCCAAATGATTCTTTTGGACACTAAACTTTGAGTAACTGATGTTCTTTTAGACCTATATGGCCACTGACAGTGAAATCTAGCCAGTCTGAATTGAGATGTGCTTTAAATATGAAATACATGCTGAATTTTAAAGCCCTAGGATGAATAAAAGAACGTAAAACGCCTCTATTGATTATATGATGGAATTATATATTTTAGCAATGTCAGATTAAATTAAATAAATGACAAATTTATTTCATTTTGCTTTTAAAGTGGCTATTTGAATAGTTTAAATTGCACGTGGAACTCACAATAATTCTCTGATAGTACTGTTCTCTACACTAAAAATAGGAATCTAACATGTCCAGTGAACAGGAGTATTTGACCAGGGACAATCAAAAGACTTGAAGTCAAGCATGGGTAAGGGGCTGTAGAGTCACACTAGTCTTTTGTCTACTTTTCATACAGATAGAAGGTTTTGTTTAGGACAAAGGGGATGTTTGTAGGACAGCACGGTAAATTATTTGGACCATGGGCCTCTGATCAAAGATGGGTGGGAAATCTTAGACAAAAAACAACTGGCATAGGAATGCCAATGGAACCTTACCATGCAAGCTTACAAGCATGCTTAAAATTGTATTTCTGTTCATTGTCAAGTTTGAGCATCTTGCTTGTTCAGAGATTTCTACCCTAGAAAAATCAGTATTCAAACTTAATGTGGACTTTTATATTTGGGAGGGGGACAAAACAAGGACAGATAAAATAATCTCAACCCATGCGTCTCACTCAATCTTTGAAAAGGCTGCTGTGTAGTTGTAGGTAAAGTCTAGAATGTTGAAAGTCAAGTACATGTATATAAACTTGGATGGAATCATAATCAATTCAGGTTTTCCCAATGTTTTCAGCAAAATACTCTTTCCTTTATAAATGCCTAGTAAAGTGTATATAGTCCGTGAACTTTAGCATGTAAAAGGCTCAGAGAAGTCCTGCATTTCAAAAGTCTGATTCAACTTTATTTTACCTAGTGTTACAAGCTTATTTGACCACAGAACTATTTCTTTTTTTCCCTCTTATACAACAATGAACATTGAAGGTGTTTGGGAAACAATTTACTTTCCTCAAAAGGAACCTGGAATTCAAAGAGATGGCATTCTTAATTCTTGGATCAATGCTTTCACTGGTATATCACTGCTGTTTTCCAGGTGGTAACAATTATTTTAAATAATAAATAAATTTTAGGTAAATAAAGTTTATATATTTTACCAGTCCTGTTTTCTTCAATCTCAAATGAAAATTATATTAGTTGGAACCAGAGTTGCTAGTTCTACTTAACAGATAAATATGTAATTATTAAATTGAATTATGTTTCACTTAAATCTTAAGCCCTGCATGAATATTAAATTGTTATAATGTTCATCTAACAGGTGCAATATTTGTATTTGCAGCCTCAAACTTCGATCTCTTCGAGTTAACGTAGGACAACTGCTGGCCATGATTGTACCTGATCTCAATCTTCAGCAAGTGAATTATGACGTTGATGTAGTTGATGAAATTTTAGGACAAGTTGTTGAACAAATGAGTGAAATCAGTAGTACTTAAAGTATATTTTATATGAGGTAATAAGATACTTGCTCAGTCCTTTGGTTGTATAGCTTTCAAGTGTAAAAATTTTGATTTTATAGATGTGATAGTTAACAGGCTGAAGAACCATAATCTTTACAGTATTCTATGCATCAAGTGTGGCCACAGCAGTGTGGACACATTATCACACCTTTTACAATGCCTATGAATCATTGGTATTGAACAGCTGGTAGCTAACTCATGAGTCTGTTTTTGAAATGTAAATATTTGTAATTAAGTCTGCACATATTTTTTTATTACCCTAGAGTACTTAAAGTGTTTTTTGCAGGAATCATAATCAATTCAGGTTTTCCCAATGTTTTCAGCAAAATACTCTTTCCTTTATAAATGCCTAGTAAAGTGTATATAGTCCGTGAACTTTAGCATGTAAAAGGCTCAGAGAAGTCCTGCATTTCAAAAGTCTGATTCAACTTTATTTTACCTAGTGTTACAAGCTTATTTGACCACAGAACTATTTCTTTTTTTCCCTCTTATACAACAATGAACATTGAACGTGTTTGGGAAACAATTTACTTTCCTCAAAAGGAACCTGGAATTCAAAGAGATGGCATTCTTAATTCTTGGATCAATGCTTTCACTGGTATATCACTGCTGTTTTCCAGGTGGTAACAATTATTTTAAATAATAAATAAATTTTAGGTAAATAAAGTTTATATATTTTACCAGTCCTGTTTTCTTCAATCTCAAATGAAAATTATATTAGTTGGAACCAGAGTTGCTAGTTCTACTTAACAGATAAATATGTAATTATTAAATTGAATTATGTTTCACTTAAATCTTAAGCCCTGCATGAATATTAAATTGTTATAATGTTCATCTAACAGGTGCAATATTTGTATTTGCAGCCTCAAACTTCGATCTCTTCGAGTTAACGTAGGACAACTGCTGGCCATGATTGTACCTGATCTCAATCTTCAGCAAGTGAATTATGACGTTGATGTAGTTGATGAAATTTTAGGACAAGTTGTTGAACAAATGAGTGAAATCAGTAGTACTTAAAGTATATTTTATATGAGGTAATAAGATACTTGCTCAGTCCTTTGGTTGTATAGCTTTCAAGTGTAAAAATTTTGATTTTATAGATGTGATAGTTAACAGGCTGAAGAACCATAATCTTTACAGTATTCTATGCATCAAGTGTGGCCACAGCAGTGTGGACACATTATCACACCTTTTACAATGCCTATGAATCATTGGTATTGAACAGCTGGTAGCTAACTCATGAGTCTGTTTTTGAAATGTAAATATTTGTAATTAAGTCTGCACATATTTTTTTATTACCCTAGAGTACTTAAAGTGTTTTTTGCCAAGAGCTTTTCAGGGTGACCCTAACCTTTGTGCAATCTTTTCTGGTTCCCCAAAGTGTATTTTTCTCTGAATTGAGTGCTGTGCCATACATAATGCAGTGGAAACATACCTTTGATTTTCTTAAGGAGAAGTTGAAGCAGGATTTTTTAAAAATGGGATCAGTTCCTGTTAAGAGAAGTTGTAAGTGAATTGAGCATTAATTTTCCTATAAGTTCTTATCTCCTGATTATTCATGAAAATAGGTAAGCAGAAACTCCCTCCATACATTTTGCCAGAATTTTTTTGTGCTCAGATTGCCAATCATGGTTAAACAAGGTGTTTTTATAGAAAAAAATGTTCAGTATAAAAATGTACCAACAAATACTAAATGTCCCACCACATTTACTTTGAAGCCCATTTTTGGCTGCTTGTCAGCATGAAGTGGGCACAATAATTGTTTAATATTTCTCTTTGTGAAATTTCCTGTACAGCCTTTTGTAGGATTACTACAGGTTAAAGTGAGTGAGGAAGACACTCTTGAACAGTACTGCATACCTTTTATTCTGTACAAACTCAAGTGTTCTCTATCCTGGAGCAAAGCAACAGACTGCCTAGGATTATAGTATTACATGCCATAAAATTATGCTTTATTGGTCCTATGTTTTGTGCAATTTTAAAGAGATGCTTTTTATTAAGTATAACTGTATATAGAATTAAGAATCATTTTCCACAACTGAAATGTCCATTTTTTTCAAAGTTTTATCATTGCTATTTATTTTTACTTCTGTTTCTGAACATTGAATACATATTACTTTTGTATGTATGCTCAGTTACATGTCTGTCATAAACAATATTAAATTTTTACTGTATATTAACTTTTAGAAAAAGCAAATAAATGTTTTTATTTGCTTGATAAAGGAATTGAAAGTGTATTTTTGGTATGAAGCTGGTTTTCTGTCACAATTGCATCTGGCCAAATTTTAAAACATCTTGTAATAAAATAAAAATATATATGATGGCTAACTTCAGATATCAAAGAATTCTATATTCAGATTATATTTTGAAAACTAAAGCTGTCCATTTAAGACCCTAAAGTTGAGTTCATGTCACTGCATTAATTACAAGTGACATTTAGAAGATTAAGACTGTTTTCATTAAGGCTAAAACTGAGCTCACCTTCAGAGTGTGTGCATGCATTCATGTGTGTGTGGATTGTACGTGCAAGAAGAAACTTGTTCTTTGTATAAATCATTTAATTGAAGGGAATGTTGCCTAAATCATAGCAGCTATGTAGCGCATGGTGAAGTTTCTGAGTATGTAGCAGTTCTTTCTGGATTTTGCTTTTTTTCCCTTCCTTTTAGTCAGCTCTATTCTTGAAAAAATGCAATTTTTATATGGCTATTACCTGACTTATGAGGAAAGTTAGGAATAGTAAATGAAATTTGTTTGCTAAATTGATTCTTTGGATGTAATTTTCATACTTTAAGAATAAATACTACCAATATATGATTCTCTGTTAATGTGGCTAACAAGAAATTTAACGGGCGAGTAATATGGGTTTTCATGGCATACATATTTAGGTTGAGATAACTAAATTTGTAACAGGCTAGCATAGGAGGACAGTGTTACTTAAACTAAACATTACTTTAAAACGAAAAATAGTGCACAACCCCTGCAAACAGGACCCACATTAGTCAGCTAAGGCTACAGAATCAGTAAAAACTAAATGTTAGCACACTGGGAGTGGCGTAAAATATTCATGTGTCCTGTGTTTGGGCCTCAGATTCCTAATACATATGGGTAGGTATTGCTGGTGACTCTGCCCATAATCTCAGATGCTTGATTCTTGCTGTCACACAGCCTATTAGCCATTATTTTATTGAATTATAAAGTGAGATATACTGGTAGTTCTTGGTACTGGCTGCATATTTGAATCCCAGGAGAGTTTTTAGGACTCCCAATGCAGGGATGTACCCTCTACTAATTAAGTCAGGGTCTTTGGGGTTGGACCCAGATAGAAGTATTTTTTAAGACCTCTTAGTGAACCATAAGAGCTAGAACCATTTATCTCTACCTTCCAGTGATGAGTGTTCACGAATGTTGAGTTCAATTGGTTCCTGAAACAAACTCAGTATTAGCATGCCGCTTTCTCACTGGAGTGAGCGAGGAGGGGGAGAGGGAAGCAGAGTCAATGCCCAAGTTAGACATGTGAGAGGAACAGAATGGTATAAAGTAAAAAAGACTTTCCTACTGCCTCCCTAATGGTAGGCACTATTTTTTTAATGTCCTTCCAGAAAATACTAGCTACATACATACACATATTCATGTATATGCATTCAGTTTATATTCTATATATTTGTATTTCAGACTTAGACAAAAGTGTTAACACCTAATTGGTACATTAACATTTCCATATTACTCTCAAAGAGGTTTAGTAGTATTCTATGATATGCATATGCTCTTAATGCTCTTTGTTGTCTTTTGATACTACAAAAAATGCTACTGTGAAAATAAATACACAGCACACACTTTTTCAAGTATGTCCAGAGTATGAATTCCATGTGAATATTGGTAGGTCAAAGAGTGTATGCTATACAAATTTTAATGTTGCCATCCAGAATGAATTTATACTCCTATAAAAAGTAGGTATGTAAGTATATTTTCTCTTCCATCTCTCAGACTTACTTTTGCTGATCTCATGTGAAAAAATGACAGCTTGCATTTGTCTTAGGCTGAGCATGTTTACATGTTTTACTGGCCATTTTACTTTTAGTACTGCAGCATATTCTTTGCCTATTATTTTCTGTTAGGTTCTTCATCTTACTGCTTTAAAGAAGCTAAAAGCCTATGTTAATATGACCACAAACACTATCCAGATAACTTGCTTACAGAAAATCCACAGCGGATTAAATCTTACTTTTGCACAGTGTCACATAAGTAGACTCCCTGAAGTGTGGAGTGAGACCCACTGGGTTCATGTCTTTCCATATAGTTGTCTTTTGGACATTGGCCATGACTCACAAGGAATGCCACTAATACCTGCTTAGCATAGAAGAAAATGTGTATGTATTGCTGTTTAGAATTAAATCTTGTGACCATGAAGTTAATTTCCATATACTAGCCTGTAGGGAGAAAGACAAGACCAAAGGAGACAGGGTTTTGGTAAACAAGTCATACAAATACAGGTGAAGTTACCAAGTGGACGCAGTCATAGGATGAATTAGCCATTCTAAAATGAGTGCAAATCACAAGTTGCTTCCAACAGAAACATTCTATTAGTAAGTGAATAAATGCAATTTCCTATTTCCAAGGTAAGACAAATTTAATATGATTTGGTGTTAATTACTTGGAAAGCAGTCAGGATTCAGTAGCATGATAATATATAGAATAAGTTTGTCTGACTGAAAACTTTCATCTCAACCTGGCTAGAATTCACATTATGACTATCTCCAATATATAAATAGTATCCAGAATTCAGTTGTACCTGTAATGGTGCTTTATGTTCACAAAGTATTTGAGTCATCAGTGTTCTCATCTCCAGGGGGCTCCTGTTTCAATACAGTGTTTTATATTTTGGCCTGTGCTTTGAAAGTTAGTGCTATGAACCAAATCAAGGCTAACTTAAAAAATTATTTGGACTTAAAATTTTCTTCTACTGTAGAGGCAATTGCCCCATGTTTCTGTACATCTCTTTTTACTTCCCTGGTGGAGTATCTCTCAACTGTGGTCCTGGAGTAGGTGAGATGACTGTAGAGCACTGTTCCCTGTCTATTGTAAGACTGAGCAGGTCAGTTCTGGGGGAGACTTGTTCCTAGGCCACAGAATGGGAACAGAGTTCCAGGGGATTGAGTTGTCTAAGCAGCTGGTAGCTGGAGAAGTGAAATCTGAAATAACTGTACCTGCTACCTCCTTCCTGGGTAGAGAAATACAGGGGTCTAGGACAATATCACATA